CCAGTGCCAAATCTACCCACTTAACCATAGACTAGCTTCTCATGCTTGCATCAGTGTATCCACTAAGAAAGCCCACCATCTTATAATATCCGACTAAAAGTGATGCCTTATTTCATTATGCTGGTCGATCAAACTTTCAGGATAGGCTTCCTCCATAGTGGGTCCCCCGAACCCACTAGTTGACGTCTTCGTCATAGTTGGAGTATAGATCATCATCTGTCCACAAGAGCGTTCCGTTTTGACAGGCAAGTTTAAACCGAAGCCACTTGTCTCAGTAATGCCAATAATACCACCACTAGTAGAAAGAGAACTTGGCGTGACGTCAGGTGCTGAGTCACCCAAATTGTTATAAAGGACAGGTAGTGGGTGCCCATTGGATCGGTGGCTAAGACGAACAGCATCGCAACTCTCTGAGTCAAAGTAGAACTGAGCTTGCACATCCAACTCGTGAGTAAACTGCTTCCGTAGCAACTTAAGAAAAATAGGAAATAAAGGGGCAATATAAGAATTTATGCGTATATGGAAAAAAAATACACAAATATTAGAGTACCTTTTATTTCGTTTGAATAGGCAAGTGGAAGAGATTCGTAAGTTGGCCTCACCGGAAGCTGTAGGGAGATTGCCTTGGAGTTTTGATTGAAGAATTGTGCGAATAGGTCATTGGCACCTCATAATGCGACCGCGATAAAGCTTTGCTGAGCTTTCGTCCATAACGTGACAGATATGGTTAGAAGACATCATGCATTACAATACATCACCAAACACAAAAACAAGAAGGCCGTCTGCAAGCCTAGCTATGTCCACTTAATGAGGCATCTCGTGATTTGGCTGGATATCCTATGCTTTGTTTAAGTATTTGCTTGGTGAATTATCGTAAAGCATGGTGTCCTGTTCTAACGATGTTAATGAAGGATGAAAACTCAGCATCGCAGGGCGGTGCGACGAGGACCCATTAGCAAATATCCATAATCACAGCTCCAAGGCAATCACTCTACATCTTCCGGCGAGGCCACTCGCCTCTTCAAACGGAATGAAGGGTACTCAAACATCTATCAATTAAGGGATTCCTTGAAAGCTATTTTTTATACATACACATACATAATAAAAGTTAAAAACATATAAACAAAAAAACTCAGTATTTATATCTAATATTGCTGGAAGTAGAGATATTGTGGATGAAGCTAAGAAGCTTTAGTCATAAATGAGACTATAAAGCCTCTGTTGCTATGCTATCTAACATTATTAAAATTGGTGACTGCTTGTAATTTTATCCAAAAGTATTTTTATTTTTATAGCCTCTAAAAAGGGGCCAAAGTTCTGGTAGCGGTCTATAGAAGGCAATTGCTATTTGCAATTTCTCGATCCCATTATTAAATAAAAGAAGCATAAAATGTTATAGACGATGAAAAGCGTATAATCTGAGGAATCACGTTATTTATGGCTAAATTACAGGCACGCGCATATAGATTCATTTGTATTCTTCTTTTAAGAAAAGCCTACGATCGGAATTTGAATTGATGAAAACAAGAACCAGAAGAAAAATAGCGTATCTCAGAGATGAAAAAAATTGGCAAAATTGAGACCAAAAAATTCATGTTCACGTCGTAGAATTGTATCATCAAGTTAAAAACTTTAGCCATCTTAATTTCGGCTTCACACATTTTATCCCAAACTTACAGCTTGTGTGCGTGGCACTGTCTCCAAATAAGCTTGCAGTTCACGTCTATGAGCTTCATCAACTTCAGCAAGTCTCAGATTCTCCTGATTGATTAAATCGGTACGTTTCTCTGACTGTGCCTCATCAAGATCGGCTATAATCTGCTGAAGGCTCATTTCAAGAGATTGACGTGCTCGAGCCTGACCCCGATCAAATGAGGCTAACTCTTCTGTTACGCGAATCTTTTCAGCATCCTCCCACTAAAAAGAATAATAAATATTCAATAGTAAAGAAATGGAAGAAAGTATAATGGAAGAAAGTGGGACAATACATAATGATGGAGAAAAATTTAACTTGG